CTTTCTCAAACTACTTCTCTGCCAGTCTAGATCCATTGTGGTCCACAAATGTGCATACAATTCAACTCCTCCAGGTGAGGAAGCCACCACATGGCTAGAAGACTGGGAAAGAGGCAGGGTTCCTAATCCAAGTTGGATTCCAATACGTAGAGAAGAGGAAAAAAAAATATCTGAACTATCTGATATAGAGAGATGAAGTTGAGATCTAAATAAGTTACCAAATTAAACACTCATGGGTGCCAACCATCTACCAGAAGCTGGAGATGTAGCTCAATGGTAGAGCACTTCCCTGGTATGCGCGAGGCCCTGGGTTTGATGCATTTTGTTTGATGCATTTTTACCCCAACTAATCACACGGCCACTTCTGTGAAGTGCATAGACCTTCCAAAATCCTTCTTTTGACTGGGTCACTTTACGAGAAGAGGCAGAAAATGGAAATAGAGAAATCAATTTAATCATGGATAAAAAAGTATTGATGTTTTAAGACTGGAGTAGGTGACCTGCAATCTGTTTTAAAAATCTATCAGATATATTTCCAAGTCTGATGCTTCACCTGAGGTAAATTTGATTGCCTCTTTTCTTCATTTAATTCCTAATTAAGTTGCTATTTGGAAGACTAAAGTGGTTGCTGAATCTTTAGAATGGATTTACCAGCTCTCAAGAAGTTACTGTCAGAGACTCAGGCTTCACCTGAGGGTGACTTGATTGCCTCTTTTCTTCATTTAATTCCTAATTAAGTGGCTATTTGGAAGACTTCAGTGGTTGTTTAATTTTTAGAATGGATTTACCAGCTCTCCTCTCAAGAAGTTACTGTACACTCTTGGAAAGAGTTGCTATGCATTTATAACTTTTAGGCATTCCAAATGCTTAAATGCTCACAAGTAGAATGTTGCTTGAAAGGTTCTAGACCAAGCAGAGTACACTTTCTCTAGGCTAGTCTTGTAAAAGGAAGAATAATTTCATTCTTTTCAAAAAAGAAGCAATGTTACCTTTACCTAATTCAATTCATTACCCTCTGCAAGAGTGAGAGGATGGCAGAAAATCTAGCTTAAGCTCCAGTTGACTATTAGAATAAAACTCTTCTGTAACATTAGGCTTTAAAATATAGCTAGTTTGGGGCTGGGAAGGTAGCTCAGTGGTAGAGTGCTTGCTTTGCATGCATGTGGCCCTGGGATCAATTCCTCAGCACCATATAAGCAGAAAAAGCCGGAAATGATGCTTTGGCTCAAATGGTAGAGCACTAGCCTTGAGCTGAAAAGCTGAAGGACAGCGCCCAGGCCCAGAGTTCGGCCCTACAACCAACAAAAAATATACATACATATGTATATATAATTTAAGAAATCTTAATCCTTTGGCTTATATGGTACTTTTTAAGTCCCACATTCCTTTTTAAACTATTAAATCAAAGTAGGATACATTGGTCTGGAATTGTTGGTTCTAAGGTTACAAGTAAGATCTCCTGGGCCAGAACACATATGTAGATTTTGGATTATACCTTCTGTTTCTTTTCTCCTTGGAAGTTAAATAATGGCAGAGACAAGTCTGTTAGAGGCCGGGGCCTCTGCAGCCTCCACAGCTGCTGCTCTGGAGAACCTACAGGTGGAGGCGAGCTGCTCTGTGTGCCTGGAGTATCTGAAGGAGCCTGTCATCATCGAGTGTGGGCATAACTTCTGTAAAGCTTGTATTACCCGCTGGTGGGAGGACCTAGAGAGGGACTTCCCTTGTCCTGTCTGTCGGAAGACATCTCGCTACCGCAGTCTTCGGCCTAATCGGCAGCTAGGCAGTATGGTGGAAATTGCCAAGCAGCTCCAAGCTGTTAAACGGAAGATCCGAGATGAGATACTCTGCTCCCAGCATCATGAAGCCCTCAGCCTCTTCTGCTATGAAGACCAGGAAGCTGTATGCTTGATATGTGCCATTTCCCACACCCACCGGGCCCACACCGTTGTTCCATTGGATGATGCAACACAGGAGTACAAGGTGAGCAATCAGATACATGCCAGTGTCTGAATATATATATATATACAGATGCCAGTGTGGTGGAAGATACACTCCCTAGGTAAAGGGTTGTAAGCCCCAGAGGCAGGACTGTACCTGATCTTAACTCTGTAAGTCCCCTCACTCCTCAGACCTGCATACATGGATACACTGTACATCTAATCAACTACACTCTAGAATATGAAGTAGAGAAGTGTGCCCCCAGATTTTCTATAAAGTTTGCAACACTCTTTGTGTCTTATGGGTGCGTATATAGTCTTGGAATAGTGAGTGAAACTTCATGGAGAGGATCAAACTTCAAAAGGCATTGCGATTTCTTGATTCTGCTTCCTGCCTGGTTTTCCTATTGGTTGAAATAGGTAGCATCATTTGATTGACATCAACCAGACTATTTGCATCTTCCCTTAGATAATGGGAAACATGGCATGGGGTTTAACTTACTGCTGAGGCATAGGGTAAATGTCTAAGTAATAGAATCTTAGCATTTTATCTTAATTGTATATAACAAGATGTTGAAACAGTAAGGTGATTAGTGGCATAAGTAATCAAGTTTTTGTTCTATTTTTAAGTGGCTAGAATTGGATGGGAGAACAAGGTGCAAAGGTTACTTTGAGCTGTGAATGTAGTGCAGTGGCACACCGTGTGCTTACCATATGCAATAGGCTTTATTCCCAGCATCATCACCAAGAGCTTTAGCCAAAACTGGTAGATCATGCCTGTAATCCTAGCTATTCAGGGGCTAAAATCTGAGGATCACAGTTCAAAGCCAACCTGGCCAGGAATGTCCATCCATGAGACTCATTTCCAGTTACCCACCAAAAAAGTCAGAAGTGGAGCTGTGGCCCAAATGGTAGAGCGCTAGCCTTGAGAAAAAAAAAAAAAAAAGCTCAAGGACAGCACCCAGGCCCTGAGTTCAAGTTCCAGGACTTGCACAAAAGAAAAAAAAAGTAGCTTTAATAGCAAGAGGCAATTG